GGAGCTCAGGGTGGTGCACCTGGCGTGCATAGCCTTCAGCCCACACCTACGGGGGAAGATGGTCAGAGTCCTCAAGGACAATACAGCCGCGATGTATTACATCAACAGGCAAGGAGGCACGCGCTCCTCGGCATTGTGCCAGGAAGCCCTCGACCTATGGGAATTTTTTATAGCCCACGATATCTCTCTGAGGGCCTTTCACCTACCCAGCATGTGCAATACGTGAGCCTATCACCTCAGCAGGGTTTTCTCCCACCAATACGAGTGGTCCCTCCACTGGGAGATCGCCCGGCAACTCTTCCGAGAGTGGGGAGCTCCCTGGGTAGATCTCTTCGCTACCGCCCAGAATCGCCTCTGCCCCCAGTTCTGCTCCAGGGCAGGGGCGGAAAGGGGGGTGATCTCGAATGCATTCCTCCTCCGGTGGTCAGGCCAAATGTTCTATGCCTTTCCACCGTTCCCACTGATAGGCAGGGTCCTGCAGAAAGTAAAGACAGACGGGTCAAGAGTTATTCTCATAGCCCCAGAATGACCCCGACAGCATTGGTACGGGACCTTTCTGCAGCTGTTGGCGGCCCCCCCACGGAGGCTGTCGCTCCGCCTGGATCTCCTCTCCCAGGAGAAGGGATGCCTTCTTCACCCCAACCTGGCCGCGCTTCACTTGACAGCATGGTTGCTCCATGGTTGAACGAAGAGGAGGGAAGGTGTTCGGAGGAGGTCAGAAGGATTCTGCTAGAGAGCAGAAAGCCGTCTACACGGCGGACCTACTTAGCCAAATGGTTTATGTTCTCTAGGTGGGCGGGGGAGCGGGGTGCCTCCCCGTCATCCGCACCCCTCCAGCTTATTCTAGATTACCTCCTGTCCCTTAGGACCCAAGGCCTAGCTCCGGCCTCGGTCAGGGTACATTTAGCGGCCATTTCAGCCTTTCATCCTCTGGTGCAAGGTCACTCTGCTTTTTCCCATGAGATGACCTCCCGTTTTTTAAGAGTACTCGACCGTACATTCCCGTACGCCAGGGCCCCAGTCCCGCAATGGGATCTAAACCTAGTGCTATCTCGCCTCACGGGCCCTCCCTTTGAGCCCTTGGCCCCGTGTTCCTGGGCCCACCTATGCTGGAAGGTGGCATTCCTGGTGGCTATCACCTCAGCCCGTCGGGTCTCGGAGCTTAGAGCCTTGACCTCGGAACCCCCGTATACGGTCTTCCATAAGGATAAGGTCCAGCTTCGCCCACACCCTGCGTTTCTCCCCAAAGTGGTCTCCGCTTTCCAAATGGATCAGGACATTTTCCTACCGGTACGCTGTCCTAAGCCCCATTCCTCCAACGAGGAACGCCACCTTCACACGTTAGACGTACGTAGGGCACTGGCCTTTTACTTCGACAGGACCAGGCCGTTCAGGAAATCCTCCCAACTGTTTGTTGCATCGGCAGAGTGTATTTCACCAAATGGATCCATCAGGCAACCCAACCCCATCCAACAAAAGTTGGTAGTCTGACACTTTGAAAGAAGTAACTAGGGGGAGAGATTTGAGCTGGGTAATCTCTCTCTTTCAAATAAATCAGACTACATTCTTAGAATACTTCAGAGTTTAAATGCTGGAGAAGATCTACAAGATTAGCAATGTATTTAGGATTCAGTGGTAGATGTTCTTTGATAACTGGCTGAGAGCTTTCATAGGCCCACCTTCACTATGATGCAGTAGAACCCAAGCCAAATGTCAGAAATCCATTAAAGGTGCAAAGCCCTGGAAAAAAATAAGCTTTATAAATAAACCAACCTGAAGTCTCTAATGGTTTTAAAATGTATAGCAGGAAAAAGAAGTCATTAATTACCTGTGTATCAACACCAGTATATTCAAGCAAAAGGCTACACTTTTTGTGTCCTTAGTACAATTAGCAAGAGAGTCATAATTATATGTAAAATAATTTAGCAAACCTTTAGAGTTGGGCATTCATTTTTGGCTCTTATCTTCGCTGTAGCTTCGAAAATATACAGCTGTGAATAGATAAGGAGGAAGAGTTAAGTTTGGTGCATATCTTGTGTGTGGATTTCAAATCTTTCACTGCTTTCCCTCTTTTCCAGGTTGGCCTTCCCCCAGTCCCTTCCTGCTAGCCATGTATAGTTTAGCAATTAAAAATAATCTATTTTACAAAGCAGCAGAGAGAAAAATGCTTCTCACTGGATCTGTCTAGTGTTGTTTATTTTAATTGCTATTCCAGTGAATACCCCATGTGCAGAGGGGTCTTGCTTCCAATTGTGTGCTGGAGCATGGAGTGCTCTGCCTGGAGGGAAAAACATCAGAGAAGCACATGGTTCCAAATGAATACTTGGAGTGCAACTATAGGTCTGTTTATGTCTGAGGTTGAACCCAAGTGTGTGCACAGGATTGCTAACCTGCACTTCAAAAAGAAATCCTACCTTTTGATTACTTCTGCATCTCTGAGGATAATGAAACTGCTGTTTCCCTTGACACTAATGTACCTGCTAGTGTTTAAGGTAGTATGGTGATTGGTCCATTATAAATATGTACATACATGGAGAGCAAGGGAAGGGCTGGGTTTTTTCCTCTTTAAATAGAATAACAACTTGGAAAATAATTCCCCATCCCCTAATAAGGGGTATCCCTGCTGCAGGCTCCCCAGTGATGTTTACATCCAAAAACACAAGCTTTACCTTTAGTCCCAGCTCCTTGAAAGGTCAGAGCAGTTTGCTGGAGTAACAGACATTTTCACTTTGCAGCCCCAACAGAGACTGTGTGGCAGTAGAGTCATCATTTTTGGCTATTATTGAGCAGTAAGTTTATGGTAGAATGTGTTTTTTATTTTTAAAGTTATAAGTTTCTTTAAAATAAACTTGGTTTATTTTAAATTATTTCCTTGCATATCCTCATTGTTTAATATTGTTAATACTACTTTGCTTTCTTGCATAAACACTTCCTGAAGAGTGTTTTTATTAGTAATTCCTTAGAATAGGGATCTCTATGGACAGCACTTCAGAAGGCAATGATTGCAATCATTATTTGAATGGCACAGTCATTTTAAATTGTGCTGTCATTAATTGCAAAGATGAAAGCTTCTTACTTGTATCTATCTGATCTCTGACATTTCTGAGATGACATAGGCTATAGTTTTAAATTTTACTCTGATAGAAAGCCTTCTAGTGTCTACTGTTTAAATCAAAGCCTCTGATTTTAACATAACATAGGCTGAACATAAACATAGGTTTAATGTGCTTGAAAATGTTTGATTGTCTAGTGCTTACATTGCTCTTTGTGCCTTAGTGGGTTTTTTTGATTTTTTGGATAGGGTTTTTCCTCCTGACATTTTCAAAAATAAGGGACACTGTGACAGGGCCTATAATTTAAAGGCAAATAAAAACAACCTGAGATGGATAACACATAGTTTATCAATGCTCTGAATAATATCTTTGCTGGTTTTTAGCTTGATTCATAAATGTAATATAGAAGAATTTGAGTGGGTCAGTGCGTATATACATTCTGGAATCATGGGTTTGAAATGCAAAGGTTTGTTTTTATTATTTTTGATCTTGTCAAGGTAAATTAAAACATTTAATTTACCTTTTTAAAGTTCACTTGCTTCATATTACTTTCCCAGAGTAAATATTTTATTTGACTTTCAAGTTTTTATTTCTGTGGAAAACAGACAAGATTACCCAATACTGTTCACTTAGCCCTGCTTGATATACCCTCTACCAAGACCATTTAGGTATCGTTTGGCTTTCTGTGTGTGGAACACCCATACAATACAACTTTAAGATCCTACAGAGGTCTCTTTACCTATTACTGCCTAGGAAGAAGATATCATAACTTGTAGGTCATGGGCCAGATTCTCAACTGGTGTAAAATGACATAGCTCCACTGACTTCATTGGATCTACATGAATTTATACCACATGAGGATCTAGACCCACATTTCTATCCAAAACTTTTGTGACAAGTCACCCTGAGATTACTATAACTGAAAATATTAAAGAACAAAATATTTTTTCCAGTTTCTTTACTTTATACATGTGACAGGAATTTGACAACGTATAGTTAGGGCCCTACCAAATTCACAGCCATGAAAAACGTGTCACGGACCGTGAAATCTGATCTTTTGTGTATTTTTACCCTATACTACGCAGATTTCACGGTGGAATCTGATCTTTTGTGTACTTTTACCCTATACTATGCAGATTTCACGGTGGAGACCGACGTTTCTCAAATTGGGGGTCCTGACCCAAAAGGGGGGGGTCACAAGGTTATTTGGGGGGGGGGTCATGGTATTGTCACCCTTACTTCTGCACTGCCTTCAGAGCTGGAGGGCTGGAGAGTGGCAGCTATTGGCTGGGCGCCCAGCTCTCCAGGTAGTGCCCCACCTGCAGCAGCGCAGAAGTAAGGGTGGCAATACCATACCATGCCACCCTTCGTTTTTTAAAGAATTAGTGAATTAAAAAAAATTCAGATTGACCTTTTAAAAATCTCAGGGCACTTTTCAGCAGACTCTGAACAAAACATTTGTTTCATTACTAATCTTCTCAGAGTTCTAATGTACAAAGCTGTGTGCAGACAACACAACAGCTATTGGGCTCTTCAAAAAAATTATCTCACTCTTACTGCAATACTAATACCTAACTCAGTACTTAAGATATCCCAAAAATATTTTACAAAGTATGAAAAATGCTAGCTAAAATCAGATTATATTCTTTTGGACTGAATTCTGCCCTGTTCAATCCCATTGATTGCAGTCAGGGCAGAATTTGTATCAGTACATATATTTTTGAAACTTCACGTTTCTTGCACTGATGAAAGATTACCATTGACTTCAGTAAACTTTGGATTAGATCATATAAGCATAGTTTATATGTTAATAATGCATTAGATTTATAGCTGCAGAAGAAACTTGGAATTTGAAGTGGCATGTAAAAGGCTTCTAATTGTTACTAAATTCTGAGTCCCAATTTGTAAATTATAAATATCCTGACCTTCTTTACACTTTATCAACAGTTGTAGCAACAGAAGAAGTCGTGACTGCAGAATCTGTGGATGGTGCAATTCAGCAAGTTGTCAGTTCTGGAGGTCAACAAGTTATTACTATAGTTACAGATGGCATTCAGCTTAGTAATCTCCATTCAATTCCAACCAGTGGAATAGGTCAGCCAATCATTGTGACCATGCCAGATGGACAGCAAGGTGAGTGGAAACAAGATGCTCAATGTGAACTTCAAGAATAATTTTAGTTTAAAATATTGATAGTTCAGGAAAATGTGGGACTTTTTACATGATCTGTGTCTGTGTACAGCAGATAGAATTGACATTTGCTGTATGCAGTGAATTATTTCTCTAGATCTGCTGCGGTTGAGTGAGATGCCATTTGAATTGCATTTTTCTGTAGATGTGCAAGTTGACTAAAATGGATCAAAAATAGACTATAAGGGGAAAAATAAAATTTAAGAAATTAATTTAACCAGTGAGATTTGAGTATGTAAATATATTAAGAAAAGAGTGGGGGAGGAAGACAAATTTCTAAGGTATAAGGAGGAGAGATAAGATGTTGAAGGGAAAGATGATGGTTGTCTGACTTATCTCTATCAACCCGGGTTGTTAGAAACTCAGTATCAAAAATAGAAAATCTAGAACACCAACAATAGAACAGCATTTCAGTAGTTAGGACCCTTCTTCAGAGGAACTCAGGCAGAAAAGTGGGATGCAGATTTGAGGACCCAATGCCAGGAGTAGCGTTTGCATACCATGGCGATTTGCTCTATGAGGATCCTCTTTGGACTCCAGGATACCCAGGACTTTTGAGGGTGGTCTATGAGAGGAGCAGGGGCAGAGCTGGCGGATTCATGAATACACAGTGTACCCACTGGAGCAAGAGTACATTTACTGTGGGGAGCTATTGCTGCCCTGATGCTGCAATAATGGCTGTGGAGTTTTGTGTAAATATTTCCTGTAACAGCTACTCCTGATGGAAATGATTGCTTTCTTGGTTTCCCATCATCAGATCATCCCTTGGGATTCCCAATGCAGAGCTTGGCTTCTTAAAGCCATGCACTGTGGTCCAGGATTTGGTCCACAGTCTGGGCAGATACAGCCATTTATCACGAAACATGAATCTATACAGTTACTAATTGAACTGACATTTAGAAGAGCACATAGCCAACCAAATGAATATTTAGGAAATATGTACACAATGATGTAGTATAAATATGACCATAATTTTCTCAGCGTTAGGGAACTGCTAGATTTTTTTCAAATTGCCTAAATGATTGACCTCAAAAATATAAGCCATTTTACTTTTCACAAATTATTTAAAAGGAGATAGTCTTGTAGCTGAAGCACAGAATTGTGAGTAGGGAGATCTAGTTTCTGTTCCCAGCCCTGCCACACAGATTTTATCTGTGACCTTGTGACTGGTCACTTAACGTATGTGACTTGTTAACCCATGAGTACAATGGGGTTGATGATACCTAATCATCACCCCTGCTGTGTTGTGAACCTAAATTTAAAAAAGAACATTGAAATCTCTAATAGAAGATGCAGTAAAAGTTGTAGTATAACATTTTGAACTTAATGAGTATTTCATTGAACTGTGGTTTTTCTGTTGGAAAAGCTGGCTTTTCCATTTACTCTTGGAACTAGAATTTTACATATTAGTTTTATGTAATGTAAATACTGGCCCTTGTATTCATATTTATCTATATACATATGTTTTTATTGAAGTATTAACAGTACCAGCAACAGACATTGCTGAAGAAACTGTGATCAGTGAAGAACCACCAATCAAGAGGCAGTGCATTGAGATTGTTGAAAATCGTGTGGAATCTGCAGAAATAGAAGTAAGGAGTCTATTACCTGATGTGTTTTAACTAGAATTTTCAAAACTGAATGTTTTGTTGTTTCTTGTTTTATAGCTGAGTTTCTATGCAGCCACAGAATGAAGATAACTTGTTTGTATTCCCATATCCTTTGTTAGTTTGTATCAGAACTTGTGTTTTACAAAATTGCTGTAGGAAGTAGATAGTATATCTATGTTCAATCCTCAGGTTGCCCATTTGTGCATATAGATGTCACTTATTTTTGCACTTGGTTAATTTTTTTCTTTTAATGTCAACGGTAAATTCCTAAAACTAGATACTGATATATCATCATCTGATACGACTTTTTATAAACAATGAATGAGAATAATGTCCTTTCATCTCTCTCTTAAAAAACACATTTGTCTTGATTACTGAAAATATATCATGATTTTACCATTAATGACATCTAGGCAAGATATTTAATGAGTGAAAGCACAAAACGATAAGATTCTATCTTGCTGTTATAAAAAGCTTCAAATTTTTACCATTTTTTTGGACTGTGTGTGCAGAAATATGAATAAAGCATCTAATGGCACTATCTGGTATACTGAAATTTTGGTACGAAAGTCCTAACTTAAAATAAAAGTGAGATCTATCCTTTTCTTATATACGTTTATTTATTTAATACCAAAACATTTTTCTGCAATCCACAATTGTGCATTGGCAACCTCTTTACTACTTGCTCTATCCCTGCAACTTACTTTGATTGAAAGTCTATGAAAACTGCTACCTACCCTGATTAGACTCTGAATGCCAAATTATTTTGTTTCTGTGAACCTTACAGTATTTTGTTTCACAAATGTATTTCTCCTAGTTTTGTTATATTGAATACTATTTTGTGCCTCATTATTGTACAGTGTGTGGAAGGATACCTCATGCATGACTAATAGCTATAATTAGCATATTTCCTCAATGACTTTTTCTTTCCATAATATATCACATGAAGTGCATTCTGTCTTTAGTTGTGCGATCATTACAGACTATCAATAGAGCTGAGATTTTCTTGCTGCACTTTTTTTAATGTATAATTTATAATAAAAACAAAACTTCTGTTCACATTCTTTTAAAAATCTGCCTGAATTTTTCTTAGTAAAGAAAATTATAATTCCTTGATCTCAATAACTTAATAGATTTATTAGAGACAAAAAACAGATTGATTTAAAAATTAATCAATTCATTTCTAAATACAGTAGGTCGGCATGGTAATATAAATACTTTTTTAAAGTGACACTGTTAGCTTAAGTTATATATTTTAAACAAGCCTTTTTAACAATGTTACTAAAAAATACTTAATAGATTTTTTCAAGTGTTTCACTTATGTTTTCAAAAAATTTAAGTATCAAGGTAAATTTAGGCCTTGATTATGAAATGAGAGGTGTACAGGCAGATCTCTGCACCTGCACAGAACTCTGACTTTGGGGGGACAGGACCACAGGGGTTTGATTGCATCCATTTTATTGCAGGATTGGGAATTAGTGTTCAGGGTCCCTTTAAGCTACTTCATGCTGTTGTCAAAGCTTGAGAGCAGAAGCTGACAAATGCTTTAAACAAGAAAAGAAAATAACCTAATATCTGAAGATGTCTTTCATCTCTTTGTGAATTTAATGTTGCAAACATCTTTATCATTGCCTTCAGTTATTTGATAGACTTTTAAATAAAAGGGGGTAACATTATTTAAGGCTAATAACCGTTTTCTTCACCATTTAAAGTTCTTAGCACATCTATATGCTATGGGCTTTATTTCTGAAATCTTTATGTAAACCAAACTCTCTTTGACTTCAGTGAGAAACTTTCCTGTTTAGTGGTTGCAGGATGAGGACTTTGGTTAATTTTTTCAGTTTGACTTCTGAGCTCTCATAAGAGTGTATTAATCAAAGTTTGAATTGCTAGGAATACAACTCACTTAACTGTAGTTTTGTGAAGAATATCAAAACTTTCAGAAGTCACAAACATTTTTAACATACTTAATGAGTGGGAAAATTTAACTTGCATAAACTTTTATTTTTTGACTGCTCGAGTTAAATATTGACTTCCATCCATAACTTACCGTAATATATTAATTTACAATGATTCATATTCTCCATTGAGTTTGACTTCCACTTTTCCCAGAGTAGCTTGTAAAAAGTGTGACACGTATATTAGAAACACCAAGCAAATGGAATTATCATTTCATAAGTCTTTTTAATTGAATTTTGTCATAAGTTCATCTTAAAGGATCACATTTCTTCTTTTTTATCAACTGTTAAATATTACCTGACATTTTCCATTATTTCTAATTATACACAGCACTATCTGTGCTGCCCATAATAACACCTAATATAACTCTAACCGAACAAAATACTCTCTGTAAAAATACAAAAATTGGCAATGGGGGTTATGGGGCATTTGTAGTTAGTGAAACTACCTCTGACTCACTTTTTTCTTTTAAATTTAAGTCTCTCTTTAAAATACAGCCAGACTTCAGATGAATACTTGTGTAAAATATTGTACAGTAAGAAAAACACTTTATCTCAGGGAAACCGTGAGAATGAACTATCTGCCTACTCAAAACCACTACCATCCATATCTTCTGTAGCGATTCCTAGCACTGATGTGGTTCCTTTCAGTCCCCAGTCATTCTGTCTATGGTAGACAGCTTTATGCACTTTATCTCTTCTTTTTTTCTGGTGAGATTTTTCCTCTCCTCCCCCCCTCCCCCCTCTCCGTGTTCTGTCTCAGAAAGAATGTAACCATTGTGCTTCAGTTGCATTTATGCAGCATACAGGGTGGTGATACGAGTTCCTCACTCAGGAGCCAGTCCTTCTGTAGTCTATCCAAATTAGAAAATTTACAAATTAGAAAAGGCTCTCCTGTTCACTCCAGCCATCTACACTTAAGGGAAGTATTCTAAAACTGGGTTCTTCATCAGATGGACTTGTTCGTTGGGATTCGAGATCAACAATTCTTTCTCTGTTGTACCAAGTATTGGGACCCCATGTTTGGAGGGTGAATGCCCTCTCATTCAACTATCTGGGGGCCTGGATGTAGGTATTGGTTTCCCCCCACTTACAGCAAGATGGCCAGGAATATATCAAGAGGTTTCAAGCAAAGATTATTCTAAGTGCTCTCTTCTGAATCTGAAGGTCTTGGTTCTCCAGTGTGCTTCAAAAATCCATCTTCAGCCCATAGCCTCTCTCATTCTTCAGGGATCAGCTGTATCTGTATCTAGTTCTTCACCTGAACCTGTCGAGGTTAAAGTTAACAGCCAAAAGGTTGAAGCTACAGTCCTTTAGCCACTGTACTTGGTGCAAGTTTTAGAAATTACAGCCACTCAAAGCATCCTTGAGTTCTTACTTAGCTACAATTGTTTGTAGGTTCAAATGTCAGCCGTTGGAGCTCTAAACCTGATTAACGGTTGATATACCCTTCCTGTACATCCTCATGTCTCCTATTTCCACAGAGCTGTCAGCTGTTTAAGGTAATGTATCAGAAAGTATCTGATGGCTTGTTGGTGTTTTACTTTTGAACCTCTGTGCTCATACCAGAGTTCTTTTTAAACCCATGAGTGAAACTTGGTTATATTTCATAGCAATCAAAGTTATCTTTCTTTTGGAAATCATCCTGTTAGAAGTGTGAGTTGGTCTGAGTCCTTTCTTGCAAGGAGCTATTCTTTGAGTGCTTGCTCATGTTGATTCCATTCTAGGTGTCCATGCGCCCACATGCATAGTCGTCGGAGATTTTTACCTTAGCGGTATCTGTAGGATCAGCTGTGGCGCCCCCTTGAGTGCCGCACTCATGCACCAGTATATCAGGCACTGCCAACCCTACGCCCTCTCAGTTCCATCTTACCACCCGTGATGGTCAGAGCACCTCGTCTAGCATTGCAAGAGCATTAGCAGTTTTTTTACACCTCTTTATCTTCTTTGTATATAGTGTGTAGGTACTTAGTTAGCCATTAAATTAAGTGTTAGGTTATTTGGTAGTTAGAGTCCCGGCTGGGATTTCGTCCTGGAGTGGGGCATGCCCCGTTCTCCTGGCTTCAAACCATGCTCGTCATGCAACAGGCCGATACTGTTAGTGACCCCCACGACAGCTGTTTGAAGTGCTTGGGGGAGTCCCATAGAAAGGTCAAGTGCAGAATTGTAAAAACTTTTGCCCTAGCACCCAATAGGAGCGGGATATCCGCTTGAGTGCCCTCCTGATGGAGGCTGTGCTTCGTCCTGCATCAGAGCCCTCCTGCTCGGACCCCACGCTAAGCACCTCGGCATCTGTGCGGAGCGCATCACTGGCACCATGCTCCACCTGGCACCTTTCCCCCTTACGAGTGCCTAAGAAGCGCAAAAGAAGAGGAGCCCCCTGGCACCCGAGGTAAAGGGGCTTCGGGCAAAGGACCTATGTCAGGCCATGTGCCCACCCCGGGGCTTCATAGGGGTACTCATAGGGTAGTGGAGCACTCTCGGTCCCCATCTCCGCGGCCTAGAACCCTGGCATCATACCCTTGGTCTCCGGTCAGAAGGCCCAGGTCCCCAACGCCGCGCTCTCCGCCTACGAGGCATGGGAGATGAGTTGAAGCACTGGTCTCCATACCCCTGGTACCAGCAAGCTTCCCACCAAAGATCTCAGGTTACCTTCGCCTAGACGGTCTCCCAGATGTCAGTCCCCACCGGGGCGGGATCGCTCCCTATCATGGCATCTGTCTCCAACTCCTTGGTACTGCTCGTCGATCAGGCACCGATCCTCTCCCTCGTCTCACTGGTTGCCAACCAGGGTCAGTTGGCAGGCTCAGGCTTCAGTGGCTCTGCTCTGGTCGCCGGAAGTGCAATGGTCCGAGTTGGACTGGGAGTTCAGCCCAAGGGGGTGATTCGCCGCCGACCCACAAGACCGGTGCAGCATCTGCAGTGGTGGCGTGGCAGCAGTGACAGTAGCCCACTCAATATCCATACTAGAACCTCTCGGGTGTGCCCATAATACCGGTCCCATATTCCCATCAGTGTTCCCTG